AACCACATGACTGGCAATAAAAACTGGTTTACCAAGTTACATAAGTTAGTCGAAAAGGTGATAAAGTTTGCAGATGGCAGGCATATCAAATCAGGTGGTAAAGGAGATATTTTGATTATCATAAAGGATGGTTGAAAGGCCACTATCACTGAAGTTCTATATGTACCTTCAATGACAAGTAACTTGACAAGTTTAGGTCAATTACTTGCAAAAGGCTTAATATGAAGTTGGAGAATAATCAGGTGAAGGTATACAAGGTTGATTGGAGGATAATAATGAAGGCACCATTGGAGGAGAACAAAACGTTCAAGGTTGAACTCAACACATCATATCACAAATGTCTTGCTTCAACTTCAGAAGAAGACAAGAATTGGCTATGGCATCACATGTATGGACATCTAAACTTCAAGAGTTTATGTAATAAGAAAAGAATGGTGCTTGGGTTATCGTATGTGAAGGAACCAAAGTAGATATGTGAGAAATGCTGCAAAGCCAAACAAGCAAGGAAGGCGTTCAAACGTGATTTGCCTATAAGATCAAGGCAAAAACTGGAGTTGGTTCATTCAGATGTGTGTGGACCCTTTGAAGTAAAGTCTAATGAAGGTAACATGTATTTCCTTACTTTCATTGATGAATTCACCAGACATATGTGGATTTACCTTATTGAGAGGAAGAGTGAGGTATTCACACAGTTCAAGAAGTTCAAGTTGCATGCTGAGAAACAAAGTGGCTGCAAATTGAATAAGTTAAGAATTGATGGTGGTGGTGAATATACTTCTGCTGAATTTGCTAGATTTTGAAATGAGGAAGATAGAGAGCATGAGGTTATTACACCCTATATGCCTTAGTATAATGGCATAGCTGAGAGAAAGAAAAGAAGTGTATAGAACATGACGAGGTGTATGTCGAAAGCTAAATATATGCCTAAGAGATTTTGGGCTGAAGCAACTTCAACAACAATATACATTCTAAATAGATGCCTAACGAAGAAGATAGTCGAAAAGACACCGCATGAGGCTTGGATAGGGTCGAAGCCAAATGTAAGTCATCTTAGAGTTTTTGGATCAATGTGTTTCAGGCATGTACCTGAACAATTGAGAAAGAAGTTGGATGATCGTAGTGAAGTCATGGTGCTCATAGGTTATCATTCGACTGGTGCATACACGTTGTATTCACCAATCGAAGATAAACTAGTGATCAATAGAGATATTCTTGTAGACGAAAGCAAAGGGTGGGATTGGTGTCAAAGTTCAGTTCGACAAGAATCAGACACAGTCACAACTGTGTTCGAAGAAGATGAACATAACGAAGCTTCAACAAGTCAAAATGAAGAACCACTTGTGCAAAATGAAAGAAGATCCACAAGAATAAGAACTGAGTCGATTAGGCTTATTGGATATGAGAGGTTTCCAGATCAAGCAATCGATGCAGATGGTGACTTAATCGAAGAAGCCATCATGATGGTTGAAGCAGAACCAATTGATTTTGGTGAAGCCTTGAGCAATTCAAATTGGTGTGAAGCCATGAAAGAAGAACTTAGAGCCATTAAGAAGAACAGGACTTGGGAGCTTGTCGAAAGAACCAACAAGAAACCAATTGATGTGAAATGGATCTACAAGGTGAAACAAAGGCTAAATGGTGAGATTGAAAAGTGTAAGGCAAGGCTGGTGGCCAGAGATTTTCTATAAAAACCTGGTATTGACTTTGATGAAGTATATGCGCCTGTTGTGAGGATCGAAACAATCAGGATTGTTGTTTCGATAGTTGCATGTAGGGGATGGAAAATGCACTAACTTGATGTAAAGTCAACATTTTTTAATGGTCCATTGGAAGAAGAAGTTTATGTTACTCAACCACCAAGTTTCAACGTCAAAGGGCAGGAGTCAAAAGTTTACAGATTAAGGAAGGCTTCTTATGGCTTGAAGCAAGCTCCTAGAGCTTGGAATAAAAGGATAGATAACTTCATAATCGAAGCAGGTTTCACAAAGTATGTCTCTGAACATGGAGTATATGTAAATGATGTTGAAAGTGCCAATCGAATCATTTTATGTCTCTATGTTGATGACTTACTCATTACAGGAGCAGACGAAGCTGGGATAATGAAGGTAAAGTCGAAGTTAATCCAGGAATTCGAAATGTCTGATTTAGGGAATCTCTTCTATTTCCTGGGAATGGAATTCAAAGACATCGAAGAAGGAGTTTCCTTGCATCAAATAAAGTATGCTCAAGATATATTGAAGAGGTTCAATATGAGAAACTACAAGGCCTCTGTTACTCCATTAGAGACTGAAGCAAAGCTGAAAAAGGAATCGAATGATGAGTTTGTAAGTTCTACCTTTTACAAACAAATCATTGGATCCTTGAGGTATCTTTGCAATACTAGACCAGATATTTGCCAAAGTGTAGGGTTGTTGAGCAGATTTATGGAGAAGCCTCAAGAATGTCATCTCATCGCAGTGAAGAGGTTGTTGAGATACATAAAGGGAACTATTGATCATGGTGTGCTGTTATCAAAGAAATCAAAGAACAGCTTAGATGTCGAAGTTCATGGATACACTGACTCAGACTTCAGTGGAGATCAAGACGAAAAGAAGAGTACTGCAGGATACATTTTCATGATCGAAGGAGCTCCAATCTCCTGGAGTTCGAGGAAGCAAAGCATTACGGCTTTGTCATCATGCGAAGCAGAATATGTGGCTGCATCATATGCTGCATGTCAAGCAGCATGGATCAAAATGCTACTTGAAGAACTCAATAATGGATTCGAAGATGAAGTTGTTTATTGATAACAAGTCAGCTATAAACCTTGTGAATCACCTAGTGTGTCATGGTCGAATTAAGCACATTGAAAGAAGGTACCATTTTCTGAGGGATCAAGTCAACAAAGGGAAGTTTGAAATAAAACATTGCAAGACAGAAGTGCAACTAGCTGACATATTTACCAAACCTCCGAAGAAAGTAAGGTTCAAAGAGTTAAAGAAAGGCATTGGGATGAGAAGCCTTGATAACATAAATTAGGGGGGTGTTAGTTGGTTAATTCTTGTTATGTAGTTATTTGGGCTTTTAACATGTATTTGGGTCTGAGTACTTTGCCTATATAAAGGGTCATTATGATTGTAATCAATAGAACAATAATATGCATTCAGTTAGAGAGTTAGTTACACTTAACTAACTCAATATTCTCTCTCTCTCTCTCTCTCTCTCTCTCTCTCTCTCTCTCTCTCTCTTCTTCTTCTTCTTCTTCTTCTTCTTCTTCTTCTTCTTCTTCTTGATTTCAAAAAATCATCTTTCTTGAATCCTTTGTTCCAATAATAAATAGAAATCGACTAAGTAATTATAAAAAACAAAGAAAATTGTACCTTTTGGAAATGAGTGGGCAACACCCTTTTTCTGATCCAAATTTGAAGAGATTTGACTCTTTCTTTTCAAAATTACCAATCAACCAATAGATAAAAGACACGTGGTATTAAAAAAAAATATATACAACAACATGTCAAAGAGAGAGAGACAACAAGAATAATTCATTTAGACTCCATCTCTCTTTTTCGATCTCTCGATCTACTTTCTCTTTTCTTAGATTTTTGACAATACTCTCACTGTTTCTCATCTTCTTTAACCTATTTCCATATCAAAATAAATAACAAAACTCATCAAAATAAAAAAATATTTAATAACATACATGGTGGATGTAGAGGTTGTCGACAGCGGCTGCGGTTTGGTGAAGCTTTTGAGGTATTGAAAGAAAATGTGTTAAAATATGTACATGTTGTGAATATGCAGCGTGAGAATAAAAAGAGATTTTTTGTATTAGTGTAGTGTGCGAGAAAATTGTGTGAAAATTGTTGATAATAGAATTGACCTCTTAGTGTAAGAATGGATGTGAGAAGTTGTCTCCCCTTGTTAATAAAAATATCATCTCTTTATATAACATGAAAAAATTAGGTTAAAAACTAATTAAAGAAATAAAATTTAAAATTTGAAATTAATCAATGCTAATTACAATTTAAAAACAAGTTTGATTTGATTTCTAAAATTTAACTATTTTGATCAATCTCATAAAAACTATCTTAAAATAAAATGGAATAAAATCAATAAAAATATTTTTTTTTTGTATTTTGCCACTTTATGTTACTCATTTGAAAGATGAAAATTCAATGGAGAGTATATGAAAAATGAGCAGATATTTACTATTTTAAATGCACATAATTTGAAATAAACTATTATACAATTTTAAATGAGCGAAATAAATTATAGTTAAAATGTTAGGAAAATTGAATCAAAGAATATTATAAAAATTAATTTTGAAAATATTTTTGATTGTAGAAATAAAAGGCGGACAAATTTGAAATATGACAAAATATTTGAATCAAATATAATTTTTTATAATTTTGATTTAGTTTAGTTTGATTTTGAGGTTTTATATTAAACTGGTTCGGAACACCCCCTAAATAAAACCTCAATCCATTTGAAAATAAAATTTTAAACAACAATCCAACACAAAAACAATAAAATAACAAGGTGTGTTAGGATTTTAGTTGCAAAGAAATTCCAGTTTTCCAACCATAAACTATGCATACATGTAATGTAGTCATCCAACAACAATGCACATCATAATCCACACATAGCATCTGTAATCATTTTTGTTCCTATCTTCATTAGGTAGACATATAGGGATGCAAGAGATGGGATTTTAAGATGATTCATTGCATTCAATAGAAACATAAAATAAATTCACTTTGCAACTCCCGCAATCAGAATGACTACAAATTCAAATCCACATCAAATAACTTCATACAACTTAAAATCACAATGACTCAGCAAATATTCAAAAAGTGACAGAAAGTTCACAAATGAAGCAAGGCTAGACCACCTGATCTATCAATTTAAACAAACAATAGTTTCGAACTAGCAAATAACCAAGTATGCCTTAGTTAACTTATTTTCCTGAGTTTCAATATTTGTGAAACATGATATTACAAACCTGAGACCAAACAAGTGCATTACAGTGACCATTGAGAAGATTCATAGGCCCTGGAGTGTTCTACATCCATATAATGCCTCCTTCCTTGCTGCGACAGATCAAGATCACCATGAAGTTGGCTATCGAGAGGCTGTGACGTATGACCAGGACCAAGATCGGGGACAGCCTCGTGTGAAATGTTACTAGCATCAATGTCCTTGAAATAACATGAAGTGTTTGGAAGTTGATGCATGGCTACACCATGAGAAGATGTAGCAAGTTGTGTCATGGGTGTCTCATTGAAATTCAGCATGCTATTCAATCCAAGACTTGGTTCTGTGTTTCTAGAACCCCATGTTTGATTTGACAGAAGAGAGAGAGCACAGCTTGAATCTGTGACTCCGGTGTAACTTTCATCAGAAGGATGCCTGGCACCAGGGAAGCTTGTCCCACCTACCGAACCTTCCAAGAAAAAGTTGTCAGATGGCGACTCTGAGTTTCCCGGCCAAGGCCAACCGAGTGTTGTGGTTTGATTTCCAGATGATGGAAGTGAATTCCTCAGACTGAGTTTCGGGTGTGGAGCAAATTCCATCAGGAAGCTGCCACCTCCGCCGCTGTTATCTGTCGAGAAAAGTGTCAAGTAATTGAAATTGTTTACCATATCAGAAATATAGTACAAGTTGGAAAACCACCAGTAGAACAAAAATTGATAGTAGATGGATTTGAAATTTAAATTTTACTGATAGTTTCTAACCAAAAACAGATGAAGAAAATGGCGTAAAATGTGAGGTTAAGAGAGAACTGGGTGGGGGCTTTCTGCGACGCTCATTATGACCAGCTAGTCGTCTGCGGCAACTTCTTTTTCCTTGATCAAACTCAGCAAGCTGGTGAAATCTGAAAAAGGCTATGAAAAATGATTATAGTATTTCTAAATAATAATCATTGATTGAAGAGGACTGATATTTCATTCAGAAAATTATTTCCAACTTACGAACATAAGATATAAGTTGTTTTTAAGTATCATACATAAGCTAATAAGTTAAAAACAACTTACGAACATGTCGTGAATTTTTCCAAACAGCCTTGCAAGTGTTTATATTAGTAGATAAACAGAAATAAACAAATCCAAATTACATTTGGAACAAGCATCAGAAAGAAAGCTATTGCAGCTCACAAAAGTGCATACAGATATAGGAATCACATATACATATCGATAGACCATGATTTCCAAACTTTGAGTTTCCAACTACGGGGCCAATGTTATTGTCGACCTCTAGCCTCAATTTCCAGATAATGTGCGACTATTTTGGCCAGCTCGGACCACAATAGAACGATGAAGCCACTCGCAAACTCCCATTATCATTAAGCAGGCCTTAAGAACCCTATGTTCATTTAGATCAACAAAGAAACTAGTCTTGCAATACAAATCAAAGATGTCTACATGATCAAACAATCTAATTTATAAAACAAATTACTAGTTAAGTATATATCTAATCTAACACAACTGAGATGCAAGAATCAATTAGCAGCGTTAAAACTTAAAAAGAAGAATCAAATTCCCTGAAAAGGAAAACACTATTCACTATTCAGATAAGCAGTTTAAAAAGCTAAGACAGGAAAAAGCAAAGTACAGTACACCCCCAAACTTGGACAAAAGCAAAAGCACAATCAAAAGTTGTAACAACACAAACAAGCAAAGAATATTATTGTTGTAATAAAAGCTAACACTATAATAACTGAACCGACCAAACAGGATAACATAGGATAGATATATCACACCTTCAATAAAACCTGGAGAATAAATAAGATAGGATAAAATGACTCTAATAACCCTACCATACAAACTGGAGAAAAGAAAGAGAATATGAGTTAGGTTAGAAAGGTAAAAAAGACCTGCTACACTGTTGACAAAACCTTTGTTGTAGACCAGAAACAGTAACAGTAGGTGATTTAGAGTGCATGCTACAAACTTTGTGTCTTGAATAGTAAGCTTTAGCATCACTCAGATCTACTTTACAACCTTCAACTTGACACCTAGGAGGTTGAGAGTGTTGAACTGAACCACCTCTTCCTTTCTTAGAGCCACTAGAACCAGAAGAAACATTAGCATTAGCATTAGCAGTGGAGGAGTTTGCAAGAGATGTATCCTCAAAATAGATACGTTGGCCAAATTTCAAGCCATTGAGAGAGGACTCTTCTGAAGAAGAGTTTTCTGAATCCATTGGTGTGGTTTGGTAATGAGTAATGAGTAATGAGTAACTAGATTGTATTCATTGTTGTAGTTGATAGATAAATGATAGTAAGAGAAGTGTGTGAGTGAGAGAGAGAGTGGGGGTCTAGTGTAGGGGTCGGTGGTTGTTTAATAAATTTGAGAGATGAAAGTGAAAAAGTAAAGTCGAAGACAAAAGAGGAGATGGAAGAAAGGAGAGACTTGACGCTGGGCCATGTTGTTGGCAGAGGCCAGTTCAGTGCATTGCAGCGTATGGTACACTCAGAACAAAGAGACTAGTGTTGTGTTGTGGAGTCCCAGAAACAAAAGAAAATTAAATACATATGAAAGGAAATAAATAAAGCATGAGAGAGTACCCTTTGTTGTGTTTTTCTGTTATAGTCTCACTCACATTAACCATTACAGGCCCAAACAAGTTTAACTGTTGTCTTTGTGCCAACTTTTGGTCTATTTTAGTATTCTTTTATATCTTACCTACCCCTACTCCCCTAATACACAGACATGGCCAAAACCATATTTTCCTAATCCTAATGGTGTCTTCAAATGTAAGTGTCCATGAATTATTCTGAAACTAAGTTCAAGTGTTGCTAGTACACCTAGGTGTTTGCTTATCTGGGCACAATCAGAATAAGATTCTCATCAGCCATGAAACATTGGTCACTAATCTCTTCAACTTTTTCTTTTCAATGCCAAATAATATTATATAAAAAGTCCATCTCATTCCATCTAATTCTTAATTTTTTATTCCATTCAAATTGAGCTATATGTTAAGGAATTAAACATTTTAAATAAAATAGTCAAACAATATAATGAGATCTATATTCCGTTATGTTCGATTCCGCTTCGGTTCGGTATATTCCATTAATCCAAAGATAGTCTCCATCAACCCAATCAACAAAACAAATGAAGGGTCTTCACAACAAAAGACTCAAACTACTAAAATTCACATTGCTAACAACATGTTAGATCTCAAACCATCAAATTCACCATCAACATATTATATAACATAAGGACACCTATAAAATCAAAAACCAAAACCTACCTCATAGTTAGGGCAAACACTTGATCTGTAATAAATAGAACTAAATGATAGAGTTCTAAAGTTATTATGAAAATGTGCAAAACTTTACCCCTGATCTACCCGGTAGCCATTTCAGGCTAAAAAAACACTCTTCTTCTCTATCTTTTTCGTTGATTTTGTGACTCCATGAAGATAACATAATTGCAGACGGTTGAGAAATCAGTGCCAAGAACAAAGTAATTCTGTGAAAAAGAGAGAGTTTCTTGAAAACCAATAAACTTTTTGATTCAAGATGAGATGAGAAAAAAGAGATAAGAAAGATGGTTAAAATATGTTTTCTATTCACTTTCACTAAGAGCGTTATTTGCTTACAAGTGAATCAGAATCATCTCGCTTCTAACAAGTGAGACAATAATCTATTTATAAACTACTAACATATATATCTTAATATATGACGATTAATCTATTGTATGACATACATAACTACTACATTAGAACAAACAAGCATGTTTCATGTTGTAATATACATGAACAGACTTCGACGACTACATGCATGATCAGACTTCAACTACAACATACATGATCAAACTTCGACTACAACATGTGAATTCAACTATGTCGAATCCTGAAGCTACCCCCTTTAAATTTTGAATTTGAACCAATACTAACTTATTACAACAAAGCTACAAATCTCCACCTTGGAACAAACTCCAAAACAATATGAACAAACTAGCTATAATCATGCAGTTTTATCAACTACATACAATGGAAGAACTTGCAGCTTGACAATGACTTGGTGATCATATCAGCAACATTGTGATCAATGGAAACCTTCATCACTTTGACTTCTCCTCTTTTGATTATCTATATGACAAAATGCAGCCTAACATCAATGTGCTAGGTTCTATTATGATAGGCTGAATTCTCTCATGACAACAAAACATGTACCTGTGAGTACCCATTCGAACCTGCCCCGAAGTTAACGAAAAAAACCCACTTTGACTGAATTTGAGTTCAGGTTTGGATTTTCCTCGATTATAAAATATGAGAACGAGTCGGATAATAGGGACACTAGTACCCACTTTGAATTCTCCCCCGAATCCGCCATGTTTATTTCATTATGTACATTATTATTTATTTTTGATCATTTATAATATTAAATATGTGTCAAATGTTTTAATATTTTGATTTGTATTCATTATTTAAAATATTTGAAATGTATATATATGGAATTTTTTGAAATTGTTTTTTTTTATTATTATTTATAATGTAATTTGATTTTGGAAAAAAATAAGTATTTCTATTAAAAAATGATTTCAGTAAACGGATAGTGGTGGGGCGGGAATATCCGAATCCAATCTGAATCCGTTTGGATTGGGTTTTGCTTTTAATTATCCATCCTCGTTTGGATTTGGGGCGGGGAACCAGTATTATTTGGGGATTCATGTTTGGGTTTGAGGGAGGTAATAACTGTCCCTGACTAGCCTCGTTACCATGCCTATTTACCATGCACCTACTTATAAGACTTACTACATAAGTTATATATATCCCGGTATAGACCATAACATACATCAAATAACCTACTATATCAGCATATGGTATGCTATCCATATAGGTTCTTTCAACTTCAGTAATAGGACTTTGAGTTATACTCAACTTGAATTGTTGAATTATAGGCGATATAACAAGTTTTGAGTTTGACATAGCAAACCTGTCAAGAATTTTCCTTATATATGATTTTTGCGATAAGCATAATTTCAACTGACTTCTACCGCTTTTGATGTCAATACCTAAGATCATGGTTGCAGCTCCAAGGTAATTCATTTCAAATTTCTGGTTGAGTTCAGCCTTCACCCTCTTTACTTCTTCGACGAGGTTGCTTGCTATTAGGATGTCATCCACATATAGCAATAAGATGACAAGTGAGTTTTCAGGTGGGAGCATGAAATAGACACAATGATCAAAGTTGCTCCTTGAGAAACCTATGTGTGCCATGAATTTGTCGAATATCTTGTTCTATTGTCAAGGATATTGTTTCAAGTCATATAGTAAGCTGTCTGGTTTTGGTGTGTTCTTGGTTGTTTTTACATGTACTTAGTAAATACATAGTTAAAAATTTCATCAGGCGTTTTATCATATTTTTGACACGTATCAATATTTAGAGATAATTTAGGAATATTTTTGTGAGGTTTTTCATTTAAGGTAGAAGTTTGCACTCCTTTTCAAACTGGATTATATGAAATCGTGCTTGTTATCGAATATTTTAACAGAAAAAATTAGAGAATACTTTAATTTGAAATAGACTCAATATTGGTCATACGTGCATTTTCTAATATGAATATTTCTACTATTATAATACAATTAACAACATAACTTTTCATAGCACGGTTTTCGTGCTTCAGGAAAGATTTTGCATTCAAACACTTTTATTTACGGGCTACATTGTGATTAGAAACATACTAATGAAAAGATCACATTAAAAATAAAAGTTAACACTTGACGATTTTATTGAATGTTGTGGGTTTCTCCACAATATATATTTGATTATGTTTTGTGTAATGTGATTAGAAACATACTAATGAAAATATCACATTAAAAATAAAAGTTAACACTTGACGATTTTATTGAATGTTGTGGGTTTCTCCATAATATATATTTGATTATGTTTTGTATAATGATTCTAACTTTGGCTACATTGATATCTACCTGGTCTCCCTCATGACTTTCCCCAAAGTCGCAATATAATAATATTTTATTTTTATCATCTTTATCTTTGTTAGAACAAGCACAAAACCTTGTATGTGAATCAATGGAGATGATGGATAATTTTGGTGAAATTAGAGGATTGGGGAAGATCAAGTTTAGAGAGAATAGAGATTAATTGAGAGGGTAAAAAATCATATGGCATTAATTCCATTCAACAGTTACAAAATGTATATATAGTGCCTGCTAACACTAAACAAAGTAACAAAGCAAAAGCTAAACAAACAGCCTAAAAACAGAAATAATTTTTTCGGTTTTTCCTGCAGCATACTGGCAGCTTTTCCAAAATAGCTTCTCAAATAAGCTATTCTCCAAAAACACTTCAAAACCAATTACACTGCATTTGACTTATTCTAATCATTCAACACACCACCTTAAGTCAAATGCTCAATGTTCTTCATGCCCAACCTCACCACGAGTCGCTTGAAAACATCATTCGTAACCGCTTTCGTCAACAAGTCCGCGACCTGTTCTTCACTTCTGCAGTAGCTCAAACGTAACTGTCCAGAACTTACTAAATCTCTCAAGTAATGGAATCTCATCTCAATATGCTTGCTCCTCCCATGTGCTATGGGATTCTTAGCAAGGTTGATGGCTGAAACATTGTCCACCAACAGCAGAACAGCTCCTCTCGTGTTGTTGTCCAGCTCACGCAGCAGGTTCACTAGCCACACAGCTTGGCATGAACATAACGAAGCTGCGATATACTCCGCCTCACAAGAGAGAGAGAAACCACCGGCTCTTTTTTAGAACACCAAGAGATTGGTGCTCATCCGAACATAAAAACATAACCGGCCGTTGATTTCCGATCGTCCTTATCTCCGCACCAATTGGAGTCGGTGTATCCGAGTAATTCGCAACTTTTGCCCATGTCACTTGCAGGAAATAAAATCCCACAGCCAAGAGTACCTTTCACATATCTAAGGATCCTCTTAACCGCTGCCAAGTGTGATACCTTCGGCCTCTCCATGAACCTACTTGCAATACCGACACTAAACGCTAAATCTGGCCGCGTATTGCACAAGTAACGCAATGATCCTATCAATCTCCGGTATTGAGTAGGATCCACATCTTGCTCATCTTCACTCTTGGACAACTGTAAACGTGCCTCGGCTGGTGTTGTGGCAGCATTACAATGCTCCATATCACACCTCTTCAAAATCTCCATTGCATACCTTCTTTGATGCATGAGCAGTCCCAACTTTGTT